CTCAAGCTTTATTTGTAAAAAAATACAAGAAAGGTACGCTTATCGCGTTTATCAATGTTTATTGTGAACAGATTTATAATAGCTTATAGCTCTTTTACTTTTCGATTGCCTTTATATACTTTATTTTAACAAAACATATTATCGGATTATAGGTATTATGGTATATATTAGAATTAATGATATTACCAACCAATTCTAGTATTACGGGTTAAATTCTCACACGTCGAACTCTATAAAGATTTTCTTTTGGTGACAGGATCAATGAAACAATCGCATTTATGATCTTCATGACTCATACAATCAATTTTACATGACCAGCATGAACTTACATACTTTTACAATTTTAATTTTGATCATTTACATAGTACAAGTACGTTGTCTGTTGACAAAACGATTGCATAACAACGTCAACAATGATTTGGTTTCTGACTTAGCTATTGATGGCTTACTATAGAGTGAGTAAATTACGTATTCATTTTATAATTTATATTTACATAAATTTCGTTATAAAACTTTCATCTGACTCTCACTTAATCTTTCGCCTCATCACATTGCACACACATCACATAAACAAGCCAGCATTACAATCCTTACCTTATTGGATTTTATTGTTATATCCAATCCGGTGTAAAAGTATGTCCATTTCTATGCTGCAGGCACCGTAACAAATAAACAAACTCGCTTTTGCATTTATGATATTAGTTTGATAGGATATGATAGAATGGTTTTTATCCCCAACTATCTATGTTATTAATCTAACTAAAAAGATAATTAGAAAGTTTATGAAATGAGATGCAGGTAATGCATGCATTGGATTGTGGAATAAACATTCAACTGTAGTTGATTATTTTGTTTTTAGCTACTGGTATTAGATTAGAATTGCGGGAAAGTATTCAAAATGTCATATATTAATTAATAAACGTAGATTTTATTTTAAGTAGCTAAAGTAAAAACACTGAACATTCATAAGTTTAATAAATTTAAAGTTCTTATATACTCTAAGTTACACTTTACAGTCGTTAGAGTATAATTCGAACGGTACATATACACCCAAACATGACGTCAGTTACCATTGACGTAATCGTGTACTGTGAAAAGTAAAATTTATACGAATGTAAAACTTAATATAGGAAGAATCCTATTCACAACTTACGCAAATATATGTTAACAACTACGTACAACTTCCAATATCTCGTAAACATTACCATCTAAAGCAGGTGGTTCTTTTCTCGTAGCTATGCAAGTGTAAGAAATTTTTATTCAAGGGCTAGTAATAAATTATTCTTATTTCTTCTACCTCACAACAGGTTGCTGATAAAAGGTAGTACACGACTGTAACCCTACTTGGCTATAGTATTCAGTAATAGATATGTATACTTTAGAAATGTAGTACTAGCATTATCTAAGTATATACAATTATTTGAAGATTGATGTGTGTGTATTGATGCCTATGAACGATCAGATATTTTTGCTGCGTTCGTGCAGACAAATATTATTTAACTCCTTCCGTTCCTAGGACTGATATTATTGCCGATGTACCCATAGTAATATATTTATACTCGTGACTGTACTTAATCCTAATAAATAAAGAAATACGACATAAATAGACACCTACTTTTATGTCGCATTAGGTACATTGAAGTGGATCGATGGAGTATTTCTTTCATAAAAAGATTCCTTTGTCCCGTACACAATTGAGTTTGTGGACGTACCGTTGATGAGAGTGATAAGAGGATTCTATACATTCCAAGTACAAGGGCCTATAAATATTGCTCTCCACACTAGTCAAGTGATTAATACGATTAAGCAATGTCGTTCAAGACTCGTAGATCAAATAATTATAAAAAAAAAACCTTTTTATGCATTATTTTTAAATTGTATGATTAGATTACAGTCTCGCTTCAGACACCAGTTAATCATCATTTAACAGTGTCCGGATAACACCTGAATACAGATGGTCATCTATGCTAATGGAATGTTATTGATCTTCTTACAATAGTCAAATTACCATAAGGCCTTATATTAAATCCACAATTCGCTGCATTTATAAGCATGTGTCACCTTAATTAACTAAATAAGTAAGAGATTTGTAACCGTTACTTGGCAATTCCGATTTATTCAAAATATTCTCGCATTTGTCCTTGTTTGTCAAAGAAACAAGCAAACTTGTTTGTCTTAACTTCTAAGGAGAGTAGTAAATTTATAGTATCAATAAAAAAAATTATTCTGAATATGTTTTTTTGCCGTAAGAGACATTCGTGTTATGTAAAAAACATAGGCAAAAATGTTAAAAAAAAAAATGTTAATTGTTTCATTAACAAAATAAATTGTCTCCATAACATTTTTAATAGTGCGAGGTGACGTGTATATTAAACGACTTATCAGAATATAATGTGTATCACGTCAAAGATACATCTTCTATTTGCTCACGTAAGTAAAAATGTGAGAGTAATAACACTTGACGTTAATTGCAAACAATACAAAATAACTTCACGAAATTAAATTAGATAGCTCAAACCGAAATGACAAACAGTTAATAAAATAAAAGTAAATGTTATGACTAGTTATTTACGTATGAACCATAGAATGAATTGTATTTCATGTCATGTAGCTGTTCAAAAGAGATACAAAATATAGGCACATTCTAAAGAATATTTTGTTCTACATTAAGCTATGAAATAATGGTGAAAGTTATTGAAATTTAGCACTTTAAAGCTCTTAAAATGCATGTATACTCTTTATTATGTTGGTGATTTATACTACAAATGGTATATCAAGGTAGGTAAGCGATAAGACCGCACTTTATCTATCTATCTTTCTATATCCTAGACCGCAATTAATTTAATAACCTCGTTATTCATTACGAAGACAAGTGATAGCAACCTGACACGTTGATTTATATCTCGCAACATAGTGTCTAATTAATGGGGTTATTACAGTGCATTGAACACTACCGTAATCTGTATGCATTGGTCTCAATGATGTATGCCTTAACTTAATCGTTCCAGTATGCAGGCGTCACAAATAGTATGTAGAAAGCTAAGACTTTAAAATAATAAGCGTTACAAATTTAAAAAAAAAGGAAGAAACGCCACATTAAGATGGATGTTCAAGAATCTGTATTATCTTATCTATAAAATCTATTCACGCAGATTGTTATCCTTTTTATTAATTAAAAAACCTAAGTTAACCGTTGTATAAATACTCCACCACACAGCAATTTGAGTAACAGTAAGTTTTCCTAACCCAAATGTTGTATTGGTAAAATGTGTAAATGTGTAATAGGTAGTAAGCGCAAAAAATGTGATATCCTTATTTCTCAATAAGATTCAAGGGCAATGGAAAATACGCTATTTACTGTAGTGTATATTATATAATACAGTTACGTAATCTGTTGTCAAGGAAACTTATACATAAGTATTTGATGTAAACATCTTGATACCTATATTTCTTCCCGAAAAAATAATCTGACAAAGAGATGAATTGACGTACAACACAGACTATAAACTATATAGTTTAGAAAAAGACTGTGAAAGAAAGTATATACTTTCTTTCACAGTCTTTTTCTTTCGCCTTTAGTCACCCATTGTTGGGTATTGGCTTCTCCATGAGCACGCCAAACAGCGTGGCAAGTATTAATTTAATCAACCAATTATTAGCAATCACGAAAATGTTTTTTTTAGCTACTGAATGATAAAATATGTTTGAGTATTGAAAAAAACATATAAAAGTCGAAATGAAAAACACTCAACGAAACCGCGCCGTAAATATTAGAAGTTCAATAATGAACATGCTATTTTATACACTTTATGATGATGCCAATATCAAAACATTTCTGTTTCCTAACCGTAATGGAATGTCTGATATTTTCACAGCTGTACTATGCTGGCCAAGGATTTGGAAAAATTGAATTCTTGTTTTGTCGATATGGGATTGCGAAATATAGTCTACCCATATTAAATGTTGATTCCCTCTTATTCATCTGTTTAGAAATGTATGATCATACTCTTATGTTATAAAACAAGTATCCTAGATTAGAATTATAATAATCGATTGAGATTCTACTGGGAGGTATGTATGTTATGTGACTTCTTATTTATAGAGCATTATTTTTTTGTATAAACAGCTAAAGCAGTTTTTCGTTTTTAAATATGTATAATATATACAAAATTAAATAAGAATATTAGAAATGTAACACATTACGACAATATACTCGTAATTTTCTCCAACAAAACCAACACAAGAAGTAAGGTTCAGTGTGTTCCCTAAATAGTAAGGTGAATTTATGCATTTTAATCTTCATATGTTTATTTTGTCACAAGGGGTCGAATAAAATAGGAATTCAATTTATTTTCGATGTTCACGATTTCCCACGAGAATCTGATTTTGTTTTAGAATCCAATCCAATTGGCTCAATATTTTACTTTTTTTTTGTTATAGGAACTTTTTTAATTTATGTATTTGATCCTTCATGGATTCGTATTGATGGCTGGGATCATAAATTTTGAGAATACTTCTAGTTGTGTAAACGAGGGGATGCGTGTAAGTTATGTTTTAGCTTTGTTGCGCTACAAATGTGTTTATATTCTGCACATTTCAGTGATATAGAAGTAGAGTAATAAAGGAACACATGATGTGTGTGTGATAAGTTTAAACAAGTATCATTGATGAAATTGACTATACTCCTGTAACACATACGTACATTAAAACACAGTAATTAAAAAAAAATTAAAGTTCATATTAGTTGTAGATTTTGAATTCAGATACGGGTTTTCCAAAAAAAAACTTGATATAAAAACAAACCCAACGGGCTACTACCAGTGTTCTTTTTTCATGATGTTTTTTAAGGAACAATGAAATTCTAACATCTATTGTTTTTTGCTCATCGAGATAATTACAGAGCCTTTTGTTTGTCTATAGTCAATTATTTTAGTAGAGGTTGGATCTAAAATTATTTTTAAATTCTCACAAATCTAATATATATGTGTTTCTTGTTATAGTACACCTGTCTACACGAGAACCTATTTCACTATCTTTGTGAAGATAACGGCGGTGCAGTCACGTTGCCAGCTGCTAGAGGTGACGACGCGTGGAAAGTATATTTCAACGATATACCCGAGGAGATCGTAGACGAGTTTGCAATGAGATATGGTATTGAAGCCATTTATCAAGCAATGACGTAAGTATAGGCAGATTTGTTTATCATAATAAAAAAAAATAAGATGGTGAAAGAGTTGGATGAATCATAAAAAACGACAGTCGAGTGTTAATTGTTGTTCCTTTAGTGCTTTTTTGAAGATGCAGCAGATGATTTCAAGGTTTTGTACACTCTATAAATATTTATTACCTTAGTGACATCACCCAGTTTACACGTTACAACGCTTTTCATCCGGTTGATGACTGTATACTGCAAGGGAACTACAATAACACAATTAATATAGTGAAGATATTTGTATTACAATGAAATTAAAATGTTATTAACTGATATTCAAAGGTAGAAATATACCAATAAATTAATAGCTTACACTTCCAAGTACATTTTTAAATACTTTGATATTTTATGTTATTCTTATTTCTATTTCAGCCACTTTCACTGCCTCTCGACAAAATACCTATGTGCCGGAGTACCAGCCGTCATGTCTACTTTACTCGCCAATATTAACGCTTATTATGCTCATACTACCGCCTCGTCTGCAGTATCTGCTTCTGACCGATTTGCTGCATCTAACTTTGGGGTAAAACAACTCTCAATATTATGGTAGATAGATAGTTTCTGTGAAAAAATACTTTTTTCCTTATCAAGTAACTTTTTCTTCTCCATGGGCAAAGCCCCTGGAGGAGAAAAGGAAATGTTAGATTTTAATATTTCCTTTTCTACTTCAATCAGAAAGAGAAGTTTGTCAAACTCCTGGATCAGTTACACAACTCGCTTCGAATCGACTTGTCGATGTACCGAAACAATTTTCCTGCGTCAAGTGCTGAGAAACTCATGGATCTTAAGTCTACTGTGGACCTCCTCACCAGCATCACGTTCTTCAGGATGAAGGTATGACTATATCTAGTATTTTTTTTCTTTTCTCTGGTTTTTTATTTAAGTTATAGTCTAGTGTTAAGGTGATTACAGTGCAATCTCTGTTGACTAGCCTGTTGGTCTAGTGGTTAGTGACCCTGACTGCTATGCCAGAGGTCGTGGGTTTGATTCCTACCCAGTACAAATAATTGTGTGTTGAGCACAGTCATTTGTTCTGTGTCTGGGTGTACTTTATTTATAATATGTATGTATTTACAAATATATAAGTATGTTTATCAGCAGTCTGGTTACCATAGTACAAGCTCTGCCTAGTTTGGGATCAGACTGCCGTGTGTGAGATGTGTGAAAATATTAATATTATTATTGTATGTCATTTTATACCTTGTCTGGTCTCCCTTTTATTTTAAAGGGGTAACAAAATCTAACACACGGGCCTTAGCCAAGTGTGCCAAAAACGGTTGATATATGAAGTTAAGATGATGAGGATGAAGCGAGAAATTTGCGTGTGAGACGGCATGTATTAAGAAGGACTGCTTTTTGTAAGAGTATGAGAGAGGATTTCGGCATTTCCAATGTGTTGAGGCTATCTTGAAGAGTCTTCGGTACTACACCAGTTGTAGATATGACAATGGGTACTATTTTAACTCTATCTACCTGCCATTGCCTTTTTATTTCCGTTGCTAAGTCTGTGTATTTTGTCATCTTTTCTGTGTGCGTCGTGAGGAGATTGTGTGTGTTACATACTGCTATGTCTATAATAAAAACTATTTTGTTACTTTTGTCTAGTATTGTTATATTCGGTCTATTATAATGTATGGTTTTGTCGGTAATTATTGTCCTATCCCAATATATTTTAAATGCATTATTATCTAGAACTGTTCTGGGTTTATATTTATAATAAGCAGTTTTATTTGAAATAAATGAGTATTTGATGAATTATTGCTGCAACTTGGTCATGTCTGTGTTTATAATCAGTTTGTACAATAGATTTACAAGAACCAGTGATGTGTTGGATGGTTTCGGAACTGCTATGGCATCGTCTACATAAGTCGGTAGGAAGGTTAGGGGTACGGATTATGTGTTTTTTATAGTTAAGAGTATCGATAACCTGATCCTGAATAGCGATCACAAAAGCCTCGGTTACTGGGAAGAGTTCTCCGCGCCGCAGCCACTCGTTCAACGCTTTTCTTTTCTATTATTATTATTATTAATATGCTGTGTGAAAGTTTTAGCCACCAGAGTTTTGTTTACTTATGGAAACAAAAATGTTAAGTAATAATTTCTTCAAAACTTTGTACAATGAGTTTTTTATTAGAATTTATGTAAATTATTTTGAAAAACTAAGAATAATGTTTTTTATTTGTGTTTCTTTCAGTTTCTGTGATCTTACATTAGTTTTTAGACATTTTGTTCTGTAGCTGAAAAAAAGAAATTTTAATGTTATAAAATATCTTTTGTTTAAAGGTCCAAGAACTAAGCAGTCCACCCCGAGCCAGTACTGTAGTCAAAGATTGTGTGAAAGCCTGTCTAAGATCAACATATCAGTTTCTGTTTGAAAATTGTTATGAGCTGTACAATAGAGAATTTCAGGTACCTCTTTAATGGCATTTTATTTTAAATTTAAATTCTTTAAAAAAAAACATTTGGTATTAACTACTTAATGAGAGCGAATTTATAAGAATATACTCTAAATAATTTCATTTTCAACAGGTGGATCCAAATGAAGCCAAGCGTGATCCTGCCGATCATGGGCCACAGTTAGATTCCGTGGATTTCTGGCATAAACTAATCGCTCTTATCGTATCTGTGATAGAAGAAGACAGAAATAGCTATGCACCTGTTCTTAACCAGTTCCCGCAGGAATTGAATATTGGGCAGGTAAGCCACGAAACAAGAAAAACCTGATCATGAATAATATTTTAATTATATTACTGACTAGAAATGATAGGTTGTACTATTCATAACAGCAGTTTTTAATAAAAAAAAAATGTCAGAGACATCATTATAATTATAGTAGTAGAGCCATGACAATTGACTTGATCAGATTCAAACGCCAACATGACAGATATTGATGTTGAAATCAGATCGATATATCAAATATATCTTTAAATATTGATACTTGTCATTCATAGAGTAAAGTAGATTAGCCCATCTCCCTTGGTTATTATTTATTTACACATGCACATTTGGTGTATTGGCGGACTTAATACCTCATGTATTCTCTACCAGTCAACTATTGAGTGATGCAGAGAAACTTCAACTTAAATAAATCTACAGAACCTCTAAACGTACACTATTAGAAATGCTGTTATTGTATATGTCATAATAAATACGATTGTATGTCTTTAAATAGTAAAATATGCTATAGGATTCCTTATTCGACCCACTGCCGTAGACCTCATCGAATATTTGTCACTGCCTTTCCCAGAGCAAGGAGAAATTGCCAAGATTTTACCATTGTATAAAAAGGGCCTACAAACTGACCCGAAAAATTACAGACCGTTTTCTGTATTACCTACACTCTCGAAAATATTTCAAAAACTAGTTTAAAGTCGTCTCATTAGTCAACTAAATAAGTACATAGTTTTAAATCGCCGACAATTTGGATATCAAAAAAGTATGGGTACGACGGATGCTATTAATACCTTAATTAATGATGTCATAGAAAATATTAACAAAAAATTCAAGGTGGCTGGAATCTTTCTAGATTTGAGTTCCGCTTTTGACACAGAGGGTTATGAACAATTTTTCATTAAAATGGAACATTTTGGAATAAGGGGCAATGTATTAAAGTTATTTAAATCATATTTAGAAAATGGAAAGTTGTATGTAGAAATTAAGGAGGTTAGTAAAAACAATTGTCAAAAGTATACCGATCACAACTTTTAAAATTTTAAATAAACTTTTAATGCACACTTTTTAACACACTTTAAAAAGCCGGATTTTAAACTCACGGTGTTTGACACAAACGCTGTAATAAGTGCAAGGAATCGAAATTCTTTAAATGTAAAAATAATTAAAGCACTGGAAACTTTTAAAGATGTGTTTGAATTACACAATTATACGAACATTGAACACAAATATATTGAACAAACACAATTATATGATTGTTTTTGAATACATGAACTATGAACTTGCTGATAGTTATAATAATGTGCGTGTGGGTGCGTTGTGCTCAGGATATATGCCTCCCGGCTTTTCTGGCGTCTACGCACGGTGTTGTTGTCACTGTCTTATTAGAATCCCATGGTGGCGAGATGTGCATACCGTTTTTGGCGGATGATACATCGCCTTGGTCGGCCCTCAATCCGAGTGGGCCATTCTCTGAAGCAGCGCACGTTAAGCGGGCTGGGGACGATGTAGGGGTGAAGCAGATTTAATCAATTTATTGGAGGGCACTTCGGGAGCTGATATGGCTAGACTCCGGGCTGTGTCGCAGACTCTGGTGCCCTGGCAGAACGGCAAGTGCCTGATCTGGGACGCCACTTGTGTCAGCAATGTTGCCACTAGCCATCTGAGTCGCACCGTCCACTCCTCGTCGGTAGCCGCGAAAGACGCCCGTGGCAGTGGAGCCATGGCCAGCTAGGGTGCTGACACTGGAAAATTTATTAAGGAGCTAGGTCGAAAACGCACAGAAGTCAATAGTGCCTCCCGCTCCGGTTCGTTCCTGGTGGAAAGGTTGGCCATTGCCATTCAACGCGGCAATGCAGCAAGTGTGATGGGCATCTTTCCACCGGAAACGACTAGGAACGGTTTTTTTTTTTGTTTGTGTAAATTTTATAGTTTTTATGCCTGCGTCTGTAATATATTTTTGTAACGTTAGTTTATAAGTTTGTAATAAATATTATACTTAAATTGATATCATTAAAATATGAACATACATAAAAAAAATATTAGTAAACTTGGTTTACCGTACCTAAGATAGGTAACTGAAGGAGACTAAGAATATTCAACTGAAATATTTAATACAGTATTTTAAAATAAATTTATAGTTAACGGTGTTGGTACTACTGATAATGACTTGTGTAAAGTGTGTATTTATTTGTAAGGTTTCTGTAGTTACTTTTAATTAACTCAAAAAATAAAAAAAAACAGAAGTAGGTAGGTGGATTTAATTACCATTTTGATCCAAAAACCATTCTTGCAAAGAAACTCATCATTAGGTGGAAAATTGTCAGACCTATCTCGTAATTTAGAATTTTGCATAACATCAACTTCCATATCAGGCGTCTTGAGTTTTGTATGTTCTACAAGAACTTTATTTTTCTGATTGCAGCTGTCAGCGGCTACGATGTGGTCATTGTTCGCAGTTGATATGAAGTACGCTTTAGAGGAACACGAACAACATCGTCTTTGTAAATCTTCAGCCTATATGAATTTACATTTCAAGGTAATGTTGATATTATCGCTTTAGATATCTCTAAGCCATTTACTACAGATGTAGTAAATGGCTTAGATATAATGCATGTGAAATTTTTGGTTGATGTAGATACATCAACCAAAAATTTCACATGCATTATATGATTAGTTCGAAGCTAAAATTGTGCCATAAGGGGATATTGGTTGGTTTGTTTGGTTTGGTTTGCTTGGTTTTAAAAAGTACTTGTTACACTTATTATATTATCTTATTTATTCTTACGTAAATCTTAAAGTATTCATGTACTTAAATTGTTAAATGTAAATTGATTGTACTACACACATTTTTAACTAAATCATATAAATTAACGGGTACAAAACAATTGAAAATTCCCATATACGTATTTACATTTATAAGGAGTGATTAGTCTGAATTTGTCATGTAATAGTCATGACACAATCAACTTCATCCAACAGTATAAATTGGTTCATTGTTTCTCAATTATTTTGATTTATATCTTAATTTGATACACTGTAGTATATCTATTGTATATATAGAACAAAGGAATACAATATATAAAATACATACATACAATGAATTACTGTACTAAAGTACTTAAATTACTACCTAATGGTTCTAAGCGTTTAAGTTTTTTATTTTTTACATGACATTCTTTTAGGTGAAATGGCTACACACGAACTATGTAAAGGATGTTCCACCGTACTGCGGCGCCGTACCAGAATACCCAGCATGGTTTGAACCCTTCGTTATGCAGTGGCTCAACGAAAATGATGACGTGTCTCTTGAGTACCTAAATGGAGCCTTCAATAGAGATAAGAGGGATGGGGTAAGTGGTTAAGAAAAACATTTTAAAAGTAAGATATATTTATAATCACTGCTTTGGTGTTGAGATAATTTGTCATCACGGTTTTATATAATATTTACCTTTAAATTATAGACATTAATAAAGTTTCATGCGTTCATTGAAGAATGCAAGCTTATACAAATTCCTACAATCCTGATTTGTTCTTCTATTCCAGTTCCAAAAATCCAGCGAACACGCACTCTTCAGCAACTCGGTTGTAGACGTGTTTACACAACTAACGCAATGCTTCGACGTGGTCTCCAAGCTCGAATGTCCAGATCCTGAAATCTGGAAGCGATATATGAAACGCTTCGCCAAGACCATCGTCAAAGTTTTAGTAGCTTACGCTGACATCGTAAAAAAGGAATTCCCCGAGCATTTGAAGGAGGAACGAGTGGTATGTTTTATTTTATAATTTTTACTATTTTGAATATAACTTTTTTAAATTTGGTCTTAATTCTAAATCAAAATAATTAATAGCCGTTACTTTTAAGAAATTACAGGATATCTAGATAGCTCAGTATCACGTATTCCTTCAAGAAATCTAAATCATATTCTCTATTTACTTCTAGGCATGCATATTGATGAACAACATCCAGCAACTGCGAGTTCAATTAGAGAAGATGTTCGAAGCGATGGGTGGGACTAAGTTGGAGCGAGATGCCGCCGATATTTTACATGATTTGCAACAAAGGTTGAACAGTACATTAGATGAACTCGCATCCATGTTTGCTAACAGGTAAAACTTTAATTCTCGTTATTAAGGAAGGTCATCAATTATTACACGTCTTTATTAAATTATATTCAGCAAAAGTTAAACAGAGCAAGAATTTAGATAAATATTTATTGAATAAAGTTGCAGACTGAAATGTAAACTTTAGGGATTTTTACAATTATAAAAAAAATTGGAAAAGTTTGACACTCTGATGAAATACGTATTTATCATAGTTTTTATTTTTTATCTTCTTTACTTGAAATCTAATATTCGATCTATTTAAAATGAAAAAAAATCCTAGCGGTTACTCGGGTTTGGGATTAAAATTTATGTCATTTTAGCACATATCCCATATCAGTATAATTGTACTATTCATCACATAGTGTATTTGTGTTAGATAAAACACTGAATCAGCCAGCAAGCTTACATTACCAATTAAATTTTTAATCAATCTGTCTGGCAATTTGTACTCAAGCGTGCCAAAAAAAGAAAACACTATTCTTAGTTTTGGCAAAATGTAAAACTTCTTAAAAAAAATGATTCGCCCATAATATTTTAGAGTTAGTGACAGAATACTTAACTGGTATTGTTAGGCTTATAGCAGCCTTCTGATAAAGATATCTTTATTATACGAAACTAGAGAAGTACATAATGTTGTAAAAAGCTTCTCACAGACTCTTAGCTTATTTGTCATATCAGTATTACGTCTTCTTTAAACAAGGTTTCTTTTCTATTGTAAATATATAAATTAGCTCAGAAAATCTATTATCAATTAATAACAATTGCTTTCCAATAACACACTTTAGCTTCATATTATTGGTTATATCAAATACATTCGCGAATCTACCAATTCTAGTGATTTTAACTCTTTTATTTTAGTCTTTGTAATGCTTGTTTCGTGATGTAATTGTATCTTTAACTTTAATTGTAGTTTAATCATAATAATAAGGTTTATTTGTCTCAAAAAGGTAAGTAGGTACATAATAATAATTTAAGTCAGTTCCGATTGACCACAGTAATATAAATAATAATAATATAATATTAATAATATTAATCATATTATAATATAATATTACTGATATTAATCAGTGTAAGAAAGTAAGGATAAAAGTTAGACAGTGATTTTTAATAGCTAAGTTAGCAAATAATCATACAACTGCACCGTAGTCAAAGTCACAGTCAGGTTAAAACATCTTTGGGGTGCGTGGTCCGGAACCTCCTTGTGGTGCACCCTGGGCAACGGGGACGGCAGCGCCTCTCTCCCTAGGTGGGAGAGGCGCTGCCGCCTGCGGCCAATTCCGGCCGAGGTGGGAACGGCCTGTCAAGGGCTGTTCGGAGGGCTGCTTTCCGCATGTCCCTCTGTTTGGCAGAGGGCATAGGGGAGAGCGGGCTGGGGGCGGACGGGTCCACTGCCGCTGGCTCTGTCCAGAGGTGGTGGACACTGGTCTGACGCAGACCACCGTCCGGCCATGTCGTAACCCTGACTGGCAACAGTCAGGAATGACGGCTCTTCGAGGGCTACGAGGAAGGCAACCTCTATAAAAAACCCTGGGGCGGACGGACCCGGTCTGGTGCAGACCCCGTCCGGCCCAGCCGTAATCCTGAATGGACAGGACCGGTGGATCTTCGGATCCGCGAGGACGTAAACCTCTATAAAAAATGCTCTAAGCCCACGTTCTGACGCCTGGCAAGGGGCTGAGTCGCTGGAGGGAGTCCAGTGCCGAAGGCGTCCCCGTCGAAGGACGTAAAACTTACAAAATGACATGAGGCCAACTACAGAGAAATCTACCCAGGAGGGTACCGGGCACACAGTGTCTGGGGAATCCCTCCCGGAGCCAAACGGCTCCGGCAGCTCCCACTCGTATTCTGGGGGGAGCACCAAATGTCAAACCTGCCCGTCGCCGAGCAGTAAATCCGGCGACGTTATCGCGGAGGACGCGAGAAACGTGGAGGTAGTGTCGAACACCGACACTGCCTCGGAGAGGAGCGGAGCGAGTACCCCTATGGTCTCAGCTGTGGAGCAGCACCAGAAGGGTACTCCAAAGCGCAAAAGGCGCTCGCTTCGCCTGGGCCTGAAGAGGCAATTGGAGTCGGCCTCTAGCGATGAGGCCTCGGCTCCCAAAGTCGGCACAAGCCGCAGAGGCGCTCGCGGCGGAGGCCGACTCCCCAAGGCCATGGTGGCCCGAAAGAAGGTGGCGGTCCAGTCCGCGGCTCTGGGAGGAGCCGAAGATGGGGGTCTTGGACGGAGTAAACAGGAGGGGGTCGCGTCCGAGATGTCGACCACTGATGTGGGGAGCGGGGGTGGGGGTGCTGGCCTCGTTGAGCTACGAGGCAAAACCGGCAACCCCGTGGACCAGATCGAGGAGGCAATCGGCGTGGCCGATTGCCTGCTCCAGACGTCCGGGGTAGCCAGGGGTCCCGAACAGGAGGCGTTGGTAGCGGTCGTGCGCTCCATCATCGAGGCGGGACGACTCCTCGTGGCCGAGAGCAAGGCCCACGCTAGGGAGAGAGCCCGCCTCGAGGCGGATCTCGCCAAGGCTCGTGCCCACGCTGGTGCCACACCAGCGTCTTCGGCACCTGTGGCGTTGTCCGCCCCTAAGGAGCCGGACTTAGTCCGACTCGTGGCGGAGATGGAGGAGCGAATTATGAGGCGCATCTCTGCAATAGAGAGCGCCCGTTGTCGCCCACCTCTGGCTCCGCCAAAGGCGACATATGCGGCCGCTGCCAAGGCGGGCCTAACAGCCCAGCCAGCAGCTAGGGTGGCTGGGCCGTCATCAGCGCCCCCGCCCCAGAAGACCGGAAAGGGCAAAGGGAGGGGGAAGGCGGCCCCAACCCAAGCCCCAGTCTCGGCCCCGGCTGACACCGCACAGCGCTCGTTGGAGCGGGGCTGGACGGTGGCCGGGGACAACAAAAAGAGGCGGAAGGCCGCCAAAAAAGCGGCCAAGAAGGCGAGGAGGGACGCCGCCGCCGCCGCGAAGGGAGCGCCGAGGAAGCTCCGCGCCCCTCGCTCCTCGGCCGTCGTTATCACTTTGACGGCGGAGGCAGCGGAGAGGGGCGTGGGGTACGCCGAGGTCTTGACGAAAGTCAAGGCCAACGTGGACCTCAAAGCCCTCGAGATTCCGGGCGTCCGGTGTAAAAACACACGGACGGGAGCCCGGCTCCTCGAGGTCGCCGGCGCTACCAGTGGCCCCAAAGCCGACGCCCTAGCGGCTAAGCTGAGGGAGGCACTGGATGCAGCTGACGTCCGAGTGTCCAGACCCACTAAATGCGCAGAAGTGCGCATTACGGGCCTGGACGACTCTGTCACGGCGGACGAGCTCAGACTCGCCGTGGCGGAGACGGGAAGCTGCCCTCTGGACAGCGTGAAGGCCGGAGCAATACGCTTCGGCCCCGGTGGACAGGGGGCAGCGGTTGTCAGCTGCCCCATTGCGGCGGCCCAGAAGGTCGCCGATGGACGGAGCCTCCTGGTCGGAGGTTTCCTGAGGGCGCAGGCACGACTCCTGCAGGCCCGACCGGCAAGGTGCTTCAGGTGCCTGTCGGTGGGTCACGTAGGGGTGCACTGCACGGCGGAGGCCACCGTAGGTGACCGATGCTTCCGCTGTGGCCAGCCCGGTCACAAGGCGGGTGGCTGCAACGCTCCGCTGCGTTGCTTTAGGTGCGCAGCGGGGGGCAAGCCTGCCGACCACCGGGTTGGTGGTAAGGCCTGTGCCCTATCGCGACCGAAGCCGGGAGGCCGACCTTCCGCCTCCGAGCCGCTGATCCAGACGGAGAGTGCCGCTGGACAGCCGCAAAGCTCGCTGCGGGATGCGGGGATGGAAGTCCAGTGATGGATCCACATCTCCGCATCCTCCAGGTGAACGTAGGCCACGGTGCCGATGCTCAGGATCTTCTGCTCCAGAGCATGGCACAGTGGTCCATCAACATCGCCGCTATCGCCGAGCCATATGTCCATCGGTTTCTCGGGCCTGCCTGGGAGACCGACTTGGACGGCACGGCGGCCCTGGTGCACGGTACCGCAGCCGGCACTCCACCTCTTGCAGTAGTTGCAAGGGGACGGGGCTGTGTAGCGGCGATAGTTGGAGATATAGCGGTCGTGGCCGCTTATTTCACGCCGAACCGAAACCTAACTGAGTACGAGCAATGGCTCGCTCAGCTGGCCGTCGTCGTCGATGCCTGTCGCCCCCACCCGGTTCTTGTGCTGGGGGACTTCAACGCCTGGTCGCAGGCTTGGGGTTCCCTGCGCACGAACCCAAGGGGCAGGGCATTGGAGAACTGGGCTGAAAGATTCGGCCTAGTTCTCCTAAACCGGGGGGCCGTGGCCACGTTCGTGACGGCGAGGGGTAGTTCGATCGTGGACATCTCGTTCGCATGCCCCTCGCTAGCGCGTCGTGTCCAAGGCTGGCGCGTCGTTGTCGGGGAGGAGACAGGTTCGGATCACCGATATATTCGGTTTGACGTCTCCGCCCCTGCAGATGGCGCGCCGGTCAGACCGGCACCACCTGAACCACGTTGGGCGCTCAAGCGCTTAGATCGCGACCTCCTCCTGGAAGCCGCCATCGTACAGGCCTGGGCTCCTGCGCCGGACAGGCCTGTCGACGTCGATGCTGAAGCACAGTGGTTCCGGGAGGCCATGACCCGCGTCTGCGATGCGGCGATGCCTAGGGCTCAGCCCAATACTGCAAGGCGCCAGGTCTACTGGTGGTCGCCGGAGATCGCACGGCTGCGTCAAGCCTGCGTGACCGCGCGCCGCCAGTGGTCCAGGTTCCGCAGGAGGCGTCGCCGCCCCGAAGATGCGGCAGCGAGAGAGGCGGAGCTGTCAGCGGGTTACAGGGTTGCCAAGAGGACCCTTCAGGCAGCGATAAAGCGGGCCAAGAGCGAGGCCCGCCGCGAGATGCTGGAGACACTGGAGCGGGATCCGTGGGGACGCCCCTACCGTATGGTTAGGGGCAAGATGCGCCCATGGGCCCCGCCGCTCACACGGTGTCTTCAGCCAGAGCTGCTTGAGAGGGTCGTTGGCTCCCTGTTCCCAACGCGAGTGGTGGAGCATACTCCGCCACAGATGGCTCCGCCTCCGGCGCTTGAGGCGCCTAACGTGGATGACGACGACGTGCCTGAGGTCACTGGGGTGGAACTAAGGGCGGCGGTGTTACGGCTTAAAGCCAAAAACACCGCCCCGGGACCCGATGGCATTCCTGGCCGAGCGTGGGTCCTGGCCTTAGTCGACGAGGCTCTCGAGCCCCGACTGCGAGGGTTCTTCAGCGCATGCCTCGAGCGGGGCCAGTTTCCAAAATTGTGGAGGACGGGGAAACTGGTCCTCATCCGAAAGGAGGGGCGCCCGGCGGACTCACCGTCCGCCTACCGGCCCATAGTGTTGCTTGACGAGGTGTGCAAGCTCTTTGAAAGAGTGATTGCAAGGCGCCTCGTCAAGCATCTCGTGATGGTTGGGCCGGATCTGGCGGACAACCAGTACGGTTTCCGTCAGGGGCGCTCCACCGTGGATGCGATCATGCGCGTGAAGGCTCTGGCGGAGGAAGCAGTCTCCCGGGGTGAAGTGGTGTTGGCGGTGTCCTTGGACATCGCCAACGCGTTCAACACTATGCCCTGGAGCTGCATCAGGGAGGCGCTCGTGTATCACGAAGTGCCTCTCTACCTCCGCCGCATAGTCGGGGCATATTTGTCGGAGAGAGCCGTCGTCTACCCCAGTAGGACCGGTCTCGGTAGGCGTGAAATGTCGTGCGGTGTTCCGCAGGGGTCGGTGTTAGGGCCACTCTTGTGGAACATCGGCTACGACTGGGTGCTTCGTGGTGCCTTCTTGGATGGTGTCGCCGTCGTGTGCTACGCGGACGACACACTCGTGACGGCGCGCGGCAAGACGCACCACGAGGCAACCCTGAGGGCCACGGCCGGGGTTGCCCAAGTCGTTGAGCGTATCCGGCGGCTGGGTCTCGAGGTGGCTCTGCACAAGTCCGAGGCCCTGTTCTTCCACGGGCTTCGGAGGAAGCCGCCTGAGGGATCTAGCCTCACGGTAGGAGGCACTCGCATCGGCATCGAGCCCTCGATCAGGTATCTGGGGCTCGTACTCGATGGCCGATGGGACTTCGGATATCATTTCCGAGGTCTGGTCCCTAAGTTGGTTGGGGCAGCGCGTGCGTTGGCGCGGCTGCTGCCCAACATGAAGGGACCCGATGACTCCTGCAGGAGACTCTACTCGGGGGTTGTGCGGTCCATGGCCCTTTACGGGTGCCCGGTATGGGCGGGGGCCCTGAAGGCCAGCAACGTCGCGATACTGCGACGACCGCAGCGAATGCTGGCCATCAGGATCATAAGGGGGTACCGCACGATCTCCTTTGAGGCAGCGAGTCTCCTGGCCGGAACTCCACCGTGGGACCTGGAGGCGAGAGCCCTTGCAGCACTGTATCAGTGGCGCAAGGAGGCGCAGGAGTTGGGTCGATGCCCCGAGATTCGAGAAATCGATGACCGGAAAATCCCAACTCCGCCAGGTCATCATAGGGGAGTGGAGGGAACGACTCGGGCAACCGAGCGCTGGGCACGCCGTCATTGCGGCGGTAAGACCCGTTATGGAGGATTGGCTCGAGAGGCGTCACGGGACCCTCTCATACCGATTGACGCAGGTGATCACTGGGAAGGGATGTTTCGGAGATCACCTGTGTCTGATCCGCAAGGAGCCAACGCCTGAGTGCCACCACTGCGATGGCCAGACCGTGGACACGGCTCTCCACACGCTGGCAGAGTGCCCGGCGTGGGTTGAGCAGAGGCGAGACCTCGTGGCGGCCATCGGAGTGGGAGTTCTCTCGCTCGATAGCCTGATTGCAGCTATCGTGCGGAGCGAGAGTGCGTGGAACTCTGCCGTCTCCTTCTGCGAGCAAGTTATGCTCGCGAAGGAGACGGCGGAGCGGGACCGGGAGAGGTTTAGAACTCTCCCGGCCCGCCAGGCCCGGGCACGGGCCAGGCAGCGCAGGTCACTCAGGCGCCGGAGGTCGCAGAACGACCTCCGTCCTCCATAAGCGCAGGCCTGGGGGTGACAGGTGAGGCCATCTGTCACCCTAGCAGAAGCAGGCCGGGGTGGCGGCGAGCGCGTTGCGAAGCGCGCTCGCTTCCAGGGAGCACAGGGAACATGGGGTTCCCACACGGGGCGGGGGTCGTCTACTCGTCTGTAGATGACCCGAGGTATGTCGGGGCACCAGGGCCTTCCTTTCTAGGGTATACCTGGTTCCCCGGCTATTAGTACCCGGCGAAGGCGTGCGGTTTTAGTCGGTTCGTGTCCGACATGCCACCGACAGGTGGTATCCGAGGGGATTTCCGCACGGAAAAAAAAAAAAAAAAAAAAAAAAAGGTTAAAACATCTTTAAGTAAAAAAAAATATATATTTGAAATTGTCTTTTACGTCGACTGTAAAATCATAGACACACAATACCAACAATCTGTTTTGTAAAATATTTAGCAAAACGAATCTATCCATTATATGCCTGGACCGATCCACCCGTTTGCAAGGGGTTGAGCCTTATGAGAAAAAAATGCCAAACAAACTCACGACCATTCTTTTTTATTTTCAGATAGATGCAGTTATTAGGTAACCTTTACAACAATTTCACAATTTGAATATCAAGTATCTTATTCCTCTTTCAGTTTGGAGACCCGTATAACTGCGAGTGTAAAAGAACTTGGGGAACTACTGCAGAAAGTCGGCGGAGGTGGAGCACCTGGAGCGCCACAACCACCAGCTCATCATGAGGCTGATGAAGTGTTGAGGCCACTAATGGATATATTGGTATGTAATAAGTCCTTAACAGAAGACCAGTACTTTAATCACGTTCAGACTAGCATTCGAATTTTGAGCGTTGACCTTTTTTGTAAGAGGACTTCTGTGCAGTAGAAATAAGTTGAGTGAAAACGAAAGATTAGCATGTGCGGTGTATAATCTTGTAAATCAGTATCCACTCTTAATGCGTAGCAGGTTATGCATTTGCTTAACTCATCAAATAAAAAAGGAAACTTATATACTGTTAAAATCCGGGATACCAAGGAGTACCCTTTCGTTCGACACTGTTCTTCGGCTTTTTAGAGTTTATTCCTAATTTAAAAAATGTACAATGTTTTTATCTATTTAGGATGGTTCTCTCACGATGTACGCCGAGTCCTGTGAAAAGACTGTTCTCAAACGACTGCTTAAGGAATTGTGGAAGGTTGTGATGAAGATATTAGAAAAGACTGTAGTGCTTCCGCCGATGACTGATAAAACGGTATGATTTTATGAACACAGAATAAAAAGAAACCGTCTTAATATATTTAAGCAATATTATTACAAAATTTTGTAGAAAATTCTGTTAAAATTGCCAAACCCAAACATCAAAATCAGATCTAATTTAGAAAATCAATAAATAGAATCAAGTTTAATTTAATCTAGAAATTAAACATTTAACTAAAATCTTTTTCTACTTCTTCAGATGATGCTTAAAAATCTAACAAATAATGCCAAAAACTTGGCAGCAAATGCCAAGATAGAGGACATGACACAACTATTTAAAAGCACGGTTGGGAAGCAGGATGTAAAGCATGCGCTGTCAGGAGTCATGGATATTTCTAAAGAGGTATGCAGGCTTAATATCTAATAGCTAGATAGATACATGGATTGTAAAACAAATAGACTTCCTCATTAATACTTATCGAACAGGGAAGACGTTTTGTTCAATTTTTACTAAATCAATTGTCTTTTATCAACAGCATTTATCAGCTGAAAAGAGTTTAACTCCAAAACAGTGTGCAGTCCTTGACGCCGCCCTAGATACCATCAAGCTCTACTTCCATGCAGGAGGTAACGGCCTGAAGAAGACCTTCCTCGAGAAAAGTCCGGAACTGCAGTCACTAAGATACGCACTCAGTCTTTACACGCAGACAACTGACACATTGATTAGAACCTTTGTAACCAGTCAACAGAATCAAGGTAATTATAAAGTATTTGAGATTGACAGTAATTTGTAAGAAGGTGTTTAACGATTTCAATACTATACGGTGACTAATAATTGAAAATCTTTTATATTTCACAGATGCTGCTGTGGCTGAAGAAGGAAGCGTAGGTGAAGTAAGTCTACAAGTTGATCTATTCACTCACCCTGGCACTGGCGAACATAAAATCACTGTCAAAGGTAAGCCTTAAAAAATATAAACTTGAAAAAATAAAAGAAATGTGGTCAATGATTACCATCAATGTCTTTTCTACATGATGTTCAAATGTAATTTCAGTGGTAGCAGCAAACGACTTAAAGTGGGTGATAGCCAGTGGTATGTTCCGTCCGTTCATTGAAGTAAACCTCATAGGGCCACATCTCGCTGACAAGAAGCGGAAATTTGCGACAAAGTCTAAAAGCAACAACTGGAGTCCTAAATTCAATGAAACTTTCCACTTGTAAGTATACACTTTAATATATTATTAGGCAAAGAGGACTTTCCGCTCTATATGGAAAGTGGACTATTGGAGAAAACATAATATATATCATTTCAATATTTTGGCAGCTACTTTATTTTAAATGTATCACTTACACTTTCAGTTGTAAATTATTTTATAAAGCTTAAACAATAAACCTCTTATCAAGTATATTTCTGACTGAAGGATAACTAAAGGATTTTATTTGATCTCGGTTTGTCATTTATGCCAGCAATTTAAATTAGATTTGCAGACATTTGTTTTTGTATGTATTAAGTACATACCTTTATAGCGAAAACCTTCATAGTTGTAAGATCATTTCATTACCCTATAGTGATAGGGCAACTCTTTTACTATTTGATGAAATTTTTCAGTATGGTAAGCGCGACGGAACAGTTGGAATTATTTGAGCTGCATGTTTGTGTACGAGACTACTGCTTTGCTCGGGAGGATCGCCTTGTCGGCGTAGCAGTTATGAGGCTCGCTGATATTGCCGAACAGGTAATTACAGGCGCCTTAATTGGTTTTAAATAGATACAAATAATTCTATCTAAGTATGAGTATATATTTACGTTTGCACGTGGTGCCTTGGCCAAGGTAAATTGGGATTCATTTATATTTATATAACGTAAATCGGGGAAAGTTTATTCCTTTTGAGAGATGCATCCAAATTGCGCGGGTCAGCTAATTAATTATAATTATTAAAATATATAAGCAGCTACAATGTGCAATTATAATAGTGTGCAAATATTTTTTACTTGCGTATTTGTTTAGTGGTTAGTGGCTCTGGCTGCTAAGTCAGCGTTCTTGTGTTTGATTTCCACCCAGGACAAGTAATTATGTGATGAGCGCGATCATTTGATCTGTGTCTAGGTTTAATTTATCTATAATATGATAATTTATGTATTTAGAAAAATACAAGTACCTATGTTTATCAGCAGTCTGGTTACGATAGCACGGGCTCTGCCTAGTTTAGGATCAGACGGCCCTCCATGAGATGTGTCAAGTTATTACTATTTTATAATGTTGTTCACTTAAATTATCGCTGAACTTTCTTCCAGGGCTCATGTGCCTGCTGGCTGCCTCTCGGCACCCGAGTCAAGATGGACGAGACCGGCTGGACGATACTACGAATACTCTCTCAGAGACATAGTGACGAGGTAGCTAGAGAGTTTGTCAAGCTTAAGTCAGAGATGAGAGCGGAAGCACCTACTGGAGGCCAAGGACCTTCGTGAAGCATGTAAATCAAAAACCCCACGTGCCACAGCATTCAACACAGCCTAGCAACTCCAAGACTGCGACTGGACTGATGATCCGGTTGTGATGTCCTTTAGTATTTCGGAACCGTTAATTCAGAGTGCGCGAAGGAGACTTACCGACGCGTGCGACAGGGAAAGATGACGCCATGGAGTCAGGAAGTGACAGTCGGCGCTCCGGCTCCCGGTCAGTGTGAGTTCTTTTTATTTGATACATTCTCGTCAGAGATGTAATACGTTTTGTAAATAAAATTAACTTCGTTATGTTACGCGGATAGTAGTCTATTTTGCACAAAAAGACTGACCGTAGGAGGCCGCGGGCGCCGCGACGTCTGTGTCTCAGAAATTCAGCAAAAACTACATTTTTGTTATTAAAATTGTACAATGTGGAAAATATCCATTTTAAAATGTTTAAAAAGTTAATAAAACATATTTGTAATATCAAAGAAATAATACCGAATTTGCCTTGTAATAGTAAATTAACTTATTTGTCTTTATTTGTATCTTTACGAGTATACTAATTCAATTTATTTTTGCTGGACATCTGACTTCACGGGCGCAACGTTGACCCACGATTAATGTTTAATATTTATATGGACCAAACTGTCGTAAATACGGATGAATTAATCCTTAAACATTAATATTAAAATGCAACATAATTATTTATCTAATTGATCATCTACTCGATATACATGTACAGTAAAATACATATATGGCCTTATGTAAATTATTTCGTTCGTTTATTGGTAAACATTGCTTCTGTCGAGTCGAACGTATAAAAGTGTTGAAGGAGTGTTGTCGAGTGCTAGTAATGCGTTTCTGTTTTGTTTGGTTAAATGCGTGGTATATAGAATTATGCGAAGTAAAGGCATGTTCGTTTAGGTGATGAATGTTAAATAAAATCGAATATTAATATAGTCATAGCCGTCGTTCGTTCTTAAGATCCTTTACGCGATTCTTTTTTAAGTGAAAATGTTTTTGCATTTACGTGATTTTACTGGAATTTTATATTTCAAGTTTTTTGCCTCAATGGCTTCCTTATTGTTTTAAATAAAACACGTACGTCTTTGCGTACTCTATATACTATAGACACAGAGCAAAAACACACTTTAATTTTTTATATAAATAAAAACAAACATTATACAATAAAGTTAAACTGTAACATGTGAGTAACTTCAAAAAGCATCGCGTAAAAACCGAATCAGTATGTGCGGTCTGTCATTCTTTGTTAAATAAAAAGAAAAACTTATTTTACGTGTCCCGTTTTAAGTGTACTATATTCTATGTGGTCCATACTGTTTAATACAGAAATGTATATAACAATAAGTATATGTATGTTATAACTTGTATATCACAATATTTGATCTTACTTTAATAAGCTTGGCCTGTTCAAAATGTAATCTAAATCTCCAATGTCTTTTTGTAAATTATTGAAAATTGTGATATTGTTATAAATATAACGTAACATCGTAACTGTCGTGTTTATATATGTTTAATAATTCAAATGTTAATTGTTAATAATAATTATTTCGAATAATTCATTGTAATATGACATTCCAGTTTAGTTATGGACTATTTATAATAAAAGAGGCATTGTAATCATTCCTCTATTATACTATATTCCTCTATTATTCCCACTTGTATTATTTGTGCGTAAAAAAGTAATGAAACACACCATGTTAAGGCCCCAGTGCTCAAAAATAATTTGTTAAGGCTATATTTATGGCAAACAATAACGAAAAGTTTATTTACTATCTTAAAAAACAAATGATTTTTTAAAATTATATCACAGTCCGAAACTCAAAACACAGTGTTTGAAAATCGTCACATTATTTAGTATGTGTACATTTTCAATATCATTAAGACTTCATAATAATGTAAACATTTTTTTTTACTTTAAGTATCCAAATTTTAACATATCTTAGATACCTATTTTCCATTTCGTTTTTATGGTACAATATTTCTACTGATAATTATTACCTCCTTTAAATATAAAGATAAACCTGACAACATCGTAGTTTTTTTAAAGACGTTCTTGGTGGTATTATTGTATAATGCCGTATGACTGTAACTTATAAAAATATTGATGGAGTTGAAAATGGACACGATGTGTAGGTAGGCACATCACAAACCGACACGGGACATAGATTTTCTAAATATATTAGTATTTATCATGGATTACATATCTGTAGATAGAGAATGTGGTTTGTCTAGTCCAAATCTCAATAATATATATTAATTAATTATATATTTACTCGTCTTATTATAATACATAGAAAAATCTTTTATTATTCCTTATTTACATTTTCCAGTTGACTGAATCTGTATAACTATAGCGTAATAGAAATTTTAAAACAGTGTACAAAACTGTTATTTTGTTATGTGATATCTCAATATAATAATTCTATTCAATGTTTTAATGTACGCAATAAAATATATAAATCAAACATTTGAATTAGGTATAGTACATTCTTTGTCCAGAATAACAATAATAGGAAATAAACGTTTCAAGAAGTTGCGAGTGCATTACTGCGTTGAATAGTGCTTTTTTGAAAGAATTTTTCATACACATATAGTGACACCCATCACAAATATTTTATTATTTTATTAAAAAAAAAAGAACAAAAACAAACACTCCATTTAAGAAAATCATTATTGGATCATTCATTTGTAAATAATTACAATTCGTACGTTCACCGAATCGTGAAGGAAGTCATGATATTGATGGGATCGTGCGATATCTACATAAACCAAAATAAATCAGTATTATTTATATTCGTTTGTTGTATGGGTGTATTCAATATAAGTTCTCTAACCAGTTAACCCGTTTATGAAGATATTGCGATTCGAGCTAGTATAAAAGAAAAGCGCACAGTATTCATTATAATCTCATCCAATATAATATAATACTAACAAATTGTATTGACACATAAACCTTTACCATTTGACAATACTTGGTAAATATTATTTTGTAAGTGTAAAATGTGATCGTCACATGCATCGGCATCATTGTAAGTCTGTTACGCTCCAATTCTAGTATTAAATATCACTAACATTGCATACATCTTTGTATAAATGCATATATGTAAATGTTACATGTTTAAACACATTATTGAATTTAGAATTTTTATGAAAAAATAAATAAATATCCGTATTTCAAATATATTTTGTTTCGTTTCATTATACTTACGATTGGCACTTTATGTAATTGTGTAGTGTTTTCCCTTGGAAGGTAAAAGAAGGTTATAAATTAAAGACTCGAACATGCAGTGGAACTACCAATGTGTATATTTGATGCTAAATAGGTTAGTCAAAAAGTAAATAAAGATAAAGAAGAAAAGAACTGAATTGATGAGTTAAGTGTTTAGGCTTTCTTTTCATGCTTAACCAAAATTGAGCTTATTAAAGATGTTCTCATCAGTTTATCAAAAAAAAATTGACTGACTAAACTTTACTTTTCATACAATTGAATCAAGTAACTTAGTTATATAGTCCTCATATAAAACATTAAAATATCTAGATAATAATGCAAATAATATCATGTGTTTCATGTGTCAAAACATATTTTATACGTATGTAATATTCACGAATACCTCATGATGTACTGTTGTGATAATTCTCTGCAATTAAAAGTCTAAAGAGATTTGAGAGGAATCTAGTTTTAACTTTATTCCTTCGCGAGAATCACAGGGTAAATATTGGTGCACCAGGGACTTCCTTTCTAGGGTATACCTGGTTCCCCGGCTATTAGTACCCGTGACGGCGTGCAGTTTTAGTCGGTTCGAGTCCGACATGCCACCGATATCCGAGGGGATTTCCGCACGAAAAAAAAAAAAAGGATAAATATTGGTGTCATTAATTATGGTTCGTATTAAAATCTATTACTCTAGTAAATCTTCTGGTATTTGGCTCAGTTTCAGCTTACACATTGAGTAAACAAATTACTTTTGAAATTTGCATAGTAAACTAATTCAAATTACATAGATAAGACTGCATGTTCTGAAAAAGTTTGATTTGACATTTGGACCTTTAAACATGGCAATGGTGACATGAGTATAGGTTTTGGTTTAGGCGTTATCGCTTTCTCAATTATTATACTTAAAAATGTCAATACTGTATAAAAATTAGACATCATCTTCAATGTTAAATATAAAATTTTCTTCTACGAGCTAATGTCATAAGTAATTTATACTACAATACTTCCTACTGTAATAAAAGCTTTTAGATACTGCATACAAAATTTGTACGTGATTACTTAATATGATTAAAATACCTTAGAATTGCCTGACGTTTCAACAAGGTTACAGTGAAATTAGTCTCGAGAAATTTTTGCATATTATTATGTAGTGGTGTGTATATTACTCAGATCTTAGAGCGCGTTTCCACTATATCGTTCTGGCCTATACAAAAATGTTTCAATATCCTAACATTATTATTTAATTTTATACTTATCCCTAGCAACACTCTGATTTTTGTTTTCAATAAAATCAAGTATTTATTTTAAAGAAAAAGGTTTTGACTTTATAAAAAAAAAGGTGTGTGTGCGATTCACACACGATAGAAGTGAAACTTCAAAGAGGAGAGACCGATATTTAAATATATTTTTTTCCTTTCATCTATGTTTTTAAAACTCCGGGGGGTCTACGGGGGGGGTCAAAATTTTTGTTATTTTTGGCCTAGGACGCACCGTTTCCGAGATATTTCAATCTAAAGCAAAAAATCGTCACTTGATAGTGGAAAGTGGAAACACGCACAAAACCAGAATAAACCAGTTTACGCTGTCCGTACCATACACTACTACAAACGCAAAAATTTCTCCAAGCTAATTTACCTGTAACTAGCTGTGTTTAACACGATTGTATACATTTCAGAATATGCGAAAGTTTGGGAGTTAATAGAATTGCATTTGCTTGAATTGAGGCTGTCTTAGATGAATATTCTTATTTTTTTGGTTCAATCGCTTAATAGTTTTTCTTTTA